TTGCCCTACAGAACTGTATGGTAGCTGTGTTTCTAAAACACTAAAAAAAGGCATGTTCTGAAGCTGGTATTCAGCTGTTCCCTAGTTTATTTGCAGGTATGCTACCATTAGTATCTTTGAGTTATAGGTGTTACCTTTTGTTTGAAAATCTCCAAGGACAGAGAGATTTTCTCCAAGCAAGAAAATCTCCGAGCAGAGTCACTTTGCAAAAGTGACTGATTTTTCCTTTGGGTTGTTTTGCAAACTAAAGCTGTTAGTTTTCAATCCTTCCTTCCAAGTAGCAAACATTCTGCCATCTTTAGAGAAAACTGCTTTTCTCTGCTTTGATAGTAGGCAACATTATCGAGAAGTGTGTTATTGCTCCATTATCTGAGTTAGTATTAGATAAAAAAAATTCATGGAATAAATTGGTATCAAAATTTGCTCCCTGGAAGGTTACACTTAGGCATTTCATTTGTATATTGTTTTTGCAGCTTGGGGCCTTGGCAGTTTAATTTCAGGCTACATATGAAAAGTCTTCCTGGTCTTAGAGGGTTTATTTTTGTTTCTAGATCCTGTGAAATGGGGACTGCAGAGCAGTCAAAGAACTTTTTTGTCTTCTGTCCTGTGATTTGAAAATAAGCTTGTGCTGGGAATTAAAAGTTTTTCTTCTGATGTGTGAAACATGAGAGCAGGGTGTTGACCCCCATTTTCATTTCAGAATATTGTTTTCTTTCCACCCCTCCTTCTCTAGTTGTAGTACTGAAACTAGGTTATAATTCTGTAAAGCAGCTTTAGTTTGAATAGGTGGGAGCTGCAATACGTTTAATGTTTTGCTTGATCTTTGTTTATTCAAATGTAGTTAATGACCTTATTGAGTAAGAAAACCCAGGATCAGAGGTGTCTTGCTTGTACTGCAGAAGGTCTGTGTGGTGTTAACAGCTTTGGAGACTTTGGAAGTATGTTTGTGTCTTGTTTTTGAATTCTGAATTGCTGTTTTGCTGGCTTCAGCATCCTGGAGAAAGAGTCAGTGAATTCTTTCCTTAAAATGTTGCTAGCTGTATCAGAAGGTGAGTAATTTGCATGTGAACTTCTGATATCTCAAGTATCTGTCTTCTGGGAGAGGGACATGACCTAGAGAGCTGCATATATTTTGAACAGTTTTTTCTCTGTGTCTGTTGAGATGCGTGTTGGGGAAGCATAAGATTTGAGAATTTTCCAAGGCATCTGGGAAAAATAATAGGACAAATAACAGATTTCCTATCACAGTCTTAATTGCATGGGTCTGAATTAAGATTTGAAGCAAGTTTCTCTACAGATGAGTTATGCTGGGGAACAACTGTCACGTTATTAGTAAATAATAATGGTGAGGGCTGAAAAGCTAAAACTGATTATAAACCCATAGTTTATATTTTTTCACGAGACATCTGACTTAGATGCTGTATTTTTAAAGGTTGGTTTTACTCTGCCTTTTCAATAAAAAAAAAAAAAGAGAACTTGTTTTCCAGTTTATTCTCTGTTTTACCAGAATGAATGAGATATCAGCTATCTGTGCAGAAGTGTTCACCAAAAAGCTTGCTGACCTTTTTTTGGAGTACCCTGTGCAGCTGAGCACGGGGGCTGTGTTAGCACAGCGGTGACACAGCCGCTCTGCAGATGGTGGGAGCTCTGCAAAGGCTAGAGTGTGGACAGGGGATTCTTTTTTCTCTCAGATTGAAAAGCAGGGCTTGTTAAAATTCTGGTGTTTTGTTTTAGCACTTTTCTAAAAGACCATTGATTTCATTTATGCCTCTGAAAGACTAGTTCAGTAGAGGCATGCTGAAAGTAGCTGCAGAGCCTGTCCACCTCAGTGGGCATTAGTCAGAACAGTGGCAGGTGCTGGCTCAGCGACTGAGGTAGGACTTCATTCATTTATCTAGAGGAGCAGGCGATAAGTCCATGTCCCAGGGGTGGCCAGGTCTCTGCACAGAACAGGGCGTAACTTGTTCGTCATTTTTCTTACCATCAGAATGCGTACGCTGTCACGCGTCACGCGCGTTCCTTTGCATCGAGGTGCTGCCAAGAGCTGGTAACACTGGGCTCGACCACTCCTGCTAAAGCTTAGAGTATAACTGCTTGGGGCTGAGATAGGTCACTTGAGATTATGTGCCAGCTTTGATAGCAAATAGTAGTGGCTTCTACAAATTATTGATATTGCTGCTTAAAAGTCAGCAGTGTAAAATGCACAAGTACTGAGAAGGGAAGAGACAGTTTAAAAAAAAAAAAAAAAGGGGAGGAGCTACCTAGCAATATTAAAACTCTGCCTGTAAATAAAACATTGTGATGATCACAAAACCCAAAATGATTCAACATAGCAAGTGCACATCACAGAAATGTATACTTCTGGGAAACCTGTATTTCTGTACATGGTTTGTTGGGGTGCTTTTGGTATGGATGATCTGTAAAGTAATCCTTTCCAGGACCAGGTTTTAGAGCAGTTTTCCTTTGAGAGAAATCATACCAGGAAAGTTTCCTTTGTGAGAAATAAGCTTTCCTGTGTAATGATTGCTCTGTGAGATTAATATTTTTCTTGACCTGAAACTGCACTTAACTTTTAAACAAAGCCGAGTGCAAGGCTGTAGAATAGCAGAAGGGGAAACTGAACAGAAATGTTTGGAGGGGTTTTATTTAATTGTTATGTAATTTATTATACAGTTCCAGGCAAATCTCAGCCTGAGCAGCCAGTGAGCTCATAAAATGTTTTGCCTGTCCCTGTGTGAAGTCCCAGTTCTCAGTTTCTGAGGCTACCACTGTTACCTTTCCTCTGCTCACAGACAGAAGCACAAAATGAGCAGGTTAAACTGAAAAATAATCTTGGAAGATGGTAAATATTTTTTCTACTCTTGCTTTTTAAAAAAAAATCTAGTAGAGTTATTCTGGAGGTTGTTTTCTTTTGTCCTTGGAACTTTTGAGGTTCAGTTGAGACAATTTGACATCTCACCTAGAGGTTTATCACAGATCAGCAGAGTCCTAGCAATACTGTTTTAGCAACTCTTTTCCAGACTGTGGGTTGCGTGTTATGTAAGTGGCTGTAAGGACTGTGAAATGTTCAGGACTGGTGCTGCAATTAAGCAGTGTATACAATGGTGTGATTACAGCACTTCTGGACAGCTGCACTGTTAATTCACAGGCGTGCTTAATGGGTTCTTAATGAGTATATGGCATGGAGGAGCTCGGGGTGCTTTTGTCAGACCAACTGCAATTTTTGAGAAGGGACCTTGAAATACATGAACAATGTATCAGTAATAAATATTAACCACTAACCATTAATCATTAATCAGTGATAAATATCAATAGAGGAAATAGATTGTTTAATGGTGTGTGCTGAGTCCAAAATGATTAATTTCAGGTCCAGGCTGCAGAGGTCACCTAGATTCTAGTTGCTGATTCAGGAGGTTTGTATAGGATTTTTTCTAACCATGTGCTGGCCTGGGACAAGCATTTCATCTGTGGAAGGTCTGGCTTGCTTGGAGAGGGAAGCAGAGGCTTTTGCTCTGTTTCTTCCTCCCCACCCCATCTCCACCCTGCAGCCATACAGTTGTTGGGAAAGTTACTTCTGTGTAATTGCTAATTCTCTCTGCATCTTTGAAATAAAGCCTTTATTCCCCAGTTGAGCCTGTGGTCAGCTGAACTTCATAAAACTCTTCTGGGGAGATACACATTGAAGGTAATTTACACACAAAAGGTAACTTGTTAAGCATGCCCATAGTGCATTGAACTGAACTATGCTACCACTTCAGAGCCACCTCAGCTTCAGGTGCACCTGACTCGCCCCTGCTGTCCAAACCTCTCAGCTTCTTCTGAAGCATACAAAAATGTTTTCAGCTATACTTCAATATATTCATTGGATTTGGCAAAGGTATTTAATAAGGCAGCTGGTTGTGAAGACTGTGTGTTCTCACATGCAGAGTTTGAAGTTCTGCTGTGCTCAAGGATTCTTCACAAATCAAGTATGTTTAAGGAGAGTGAGTTTTTTCCTCTTTTTTTTTTTTTTTTTTTTGTTCTTCTTTCTTTGTACAAACTGATCAGTTCATTAACTACCCTTTCAAAAAAACTGATGCCAGTCTCGCCTATTTCTGCGAAGTTTGATACCAGTGTTCCAGACAGGGAGGAAGTACCACAGTTTCCCATATCCTGATCAAGTTTTGTCAGAGACTTCTGTGCAGTTTCAGCCATACTAAATTGCTACAAGTATTTTAGCACGAGAAGCTGTGTCATGTTCTCCTGGTGAACCCTATTAGTTCCTCACTCGGTTTTTGTGTTACAGACCTCAGGGAGGCTTTTGTCCCTTTATCTGCTCCATCACAGGTTCTCTCTTCAGAATACATGCTACAAAGCAACATGCCTTTCTCTTCTTTGTTGCTGTTATGGATTATTCTTATGAAGACACCCTTTTCATGCAGGAAACAATATGAAGTATTACTGGCTCTCAACAGTTGTTTTCCTTGTACACACATTTGGTGTGCGGTTTCCCTGAAGCATCTGAGGAACAGCGGGTGAGGCCCATGTATTTGCTCAGCAGGATTAAACAAAGAGAGTACTGTTTGCAGACTTCCACAAGCTGAAGTGCAGCAGCTGATGGGAGTTTTTGTTGGGTGATCTCAGTAGCCTGTTTGAACAGCAGAAGTGAATCCTGTTCCTGGAGGGCAAGAGGTGGAGCACATAGGGCCAGGGTGTCATAGTGTATGTTGTGTGCTCTTTTCAGGAGGAGGCAGGATGGGTTTTTCTCTGAAACAGATAGCCAGTTTCTCAGAAAAGTGCATTCATACCTAGTGGCAAAACCCAGGGACCTTTTGGATCTTTCTCTTAACTAATATGCTTAATCTTTCCTTAATCTCTGAACCGATGTTGTCCTTTCTTTTCTACGACAGTACATGCTGCTGCAGTCTGGCTACCATTGGCTGTGACTGATAGATTAGTTCAGGACACTAAAAATGGCATCAAATGGT